ACTACCTACGATGAAACAGCAATCTCATCACCCGACCCTGTGGTACCAGTGCCACTAACTACAGCAGGGAAAGTATGGCTTGCCATAACGAAGAGAAAGAACAGCAAGGCTACGTGTCCGGTGACATACCAAGCGACTGGAATGGCTGTGGACGGTGCCTCTTGGCTTGCAGGCCTCTCCAATCAGGTCACCAAAGCTAAGTGTTTGCTTCATGACTGGTCAAAGAGCACAACGATTGCCACACTTTGAAGATCCTCGAAAGAGTGCTTGAAATAAGACTTTGAGCGATCATAGAGTTGCAATCAATGCGGATTTGTAAAGGATGCCGACACTGCTAACGCCATCCGTACTGTACGAATGGTGATGGAGAAGTAGCGAAAACAGAGCTACATGCGGAATTCTTGCATATGGAGAAGCTCGACAGGGTACTCCATGATGTCACATGGTGTTCACTGAGAAATCATGGTTCCAAAAGTATACATCCAATGGGATATTCATCACGGAGCCAGCCACGTGCAAACTGCAGCAAGCAATCAAAACTGTTCTGCATAAAAACCGGCGTACATTAACAATTGCTGCTCTCTCCTCTACTCTTCATCACAGTCATGACGAAGCGACGGAAATTTAAAGCGACAGTCTCCATGGGCTTTCCTGTATGCAGATAATGTGATGTCGATGGCAGAAAACAGAAAGGAACTTGGAGAAGAGGTACAGTGGAAGGACCAATCGGAGTCGTACTGGTTGAAGCTCAATAAGAAGACCAAGTATATGGAAGGGAGATCAATCTTCAGAAACCATATACATCGATGATGAGTTAATCAAGAAGACGAGTACTTTCAAGTACCTAGGAAGTCGCATCTCTAGCGAAGGTGGACTTCAACATGAGCCATCGGGCAGTATAAATGCAACCTGGATGAAATGGAGAGCCTTCACACAGCTCTATGTGATAAGCGAATGTCAGTGCAACTTAAATCCCTAATATACCGCACTGTGAACCGTCGAACAGTATGGCAGTGGATGTTGGCCAAGTACACAAGAAGAATGCAAGTTTAGTATCATGGAGGCGAGAATGCTGCGGTGGA